CAACCCAACTTTGGGTCAAATATGGACTAACCCAGCTGTTGGGTTAAATTTTTCAATTAAATTTTTAACCCAAAAGTTGGATTGGTCCATGTTTGACTCAAAGTTGAGTTGAAACAACCCAGTATTTTTTTTAGAGTGTACTGAAATATTGCACGAAACTTTGGCATTTTCTTTAGTATTGTTTTCGACTCACCCGAATTAGGGAATGAATTGGGCAAACGACATTTGACTCAAAGTTGAGTTGAAACAACCCAGTATTTTTTTAGAGTGTACTGAAATTTTGCACGAAACTTTGGCATTTTCTTTAGTATTGTTTTCGACTCACCCGAATTAGGGAATGAATTGGGCAAACGACCGATAACTTTTCGCACTGGATCAAGTTAGCACTTCTTTCTTGAGAAGCACAGTAATTGGTACAGTCCACGCCAATTTGTCATCACTTCATACTACTAAGAACAAATGAAATTAATTACAAATGAAATTTGTTCTGTGTTAGAGGATTTTTTCAGTCCACTTTGACTTTCTCTCCCAAACTGAACCCAAGTAGGCTATCTAAAATTGTAAAGCGTTCAGTTGTCGTAAAAGCGATAAAGCTGCAAGCATAATTCTATTTGGCGTGCAATTAAGTCCACAATAATTTTTATTCCATTAATTTAAACAAATTTAGACCTATTTAAATAGCGAAGATCTTTCATTTGGAAAAACTGAATTATATATATTCTTTTACATGTTTAATGACGTCTAGAAACGTATTATTTTTATGATTGTAAATGAAAATAATTTTAAATCTTGATCGTGTCTATATTTAAAAAAGAATGCATTCATCGAATATAGGCCGCTTTTAATTTGCTTTTATAGAAGACATTTGTTTGTGATTAAGAAAAGAAACGACAATTTAATTTTGTTGTGAAAATGTGATATTACTGTCGAGTGACCTTATACGCTTTGGTGCATTTAATAGGTCTAGATTGTCTTTTTGCTGCATTTTGACGCAGTGCAGTTGAGGGCCCACTTTAATTTTTTTTTTTAATAGAAATGACGTACGATGCTTATTATAAAGGCTCTTTGGGTCCCACTTTATATTAAGTGGCATTAACTACTATGTACTTACATCAAAAAATAAGTACAGTGTACTTATTGTGTTCATATTATTGCAAAACACTTTTGCTGCTATTGAGGTGGGATATGGGTAAGGTTAGGGACAGGTTTGGTGGTATGGGTAGGTTTTAGAGTGGGTTAAGGGATGGGTCAACAGTGTAATTATAAATGTAATTACAGAAATTAATTACAGATGTAATTACATGCAGGTATTTTTAAATATATAAGTACAATGTAAAAACATGTATGTACGCAATAAGTGCATTGTATCAAATTATTAATTTAAATGTAAGTACATAACATTAAGGCCACTAAATATAAAGTGGGACCGCTCTTTGAAAACATAGGTTTGGACATGGCATGTGTCTTTGTGCGTTTTCGGTGTGTTATTAGTAGGTGAGTTTGTATGTAATATTAAAAATATAGAAAACAATATTCCCAAAAATAACTGCTTTTTGGTTTTCTGATCTCCGACACATTGAGGGGAGCGACGAGCGACTCTAAACCCAACCTTTGCCTTGCACTTGCTCGGTAAAGTTTGGTGATGCCACGCTGAACTGTATATTTTTGCATGAGACCAAATTTATCAGAAGTGCGGACCTGCATGGAAAGCAAACAAGTAAAATAAAACTGTTGATACGAACGGCGTTGTGTGTCCTTCACTGGGAATAAATGCGATAAAATAGACAGGCCAAAAAGTAATGTCAAAACACTTTCATAGCACGCTTTCGTCTGATTCAGTTAATCCTTTGACTTGAAATAATCATCTAAATAGGCCTATAGCTATTAATTAGGGAAAAGGCGGGTTTAATAAATTAATGTTATTGATACTACAACATTAATTTATTAAACCCGCCTTATTGCGTCTGTAAACAAAAGGGTACAATCAAACCTTTAATTTCAATTTATACTAATTTTGTGTGCACTAAAGAGTTATATAAAATCTTGAGTGATATAAAATGATTATAAACTCAGACTCTGCACGAGATGTCCTTCAAAATGGAGACTGAATTTATAAACATTCTAGTTATTTCTGCAGTAATTACAAAAGTAATTAGAAACGAGCACCTTGTTGAAATGTTGCTTCTCGTATGAGAAATGGAAGAAAATAGCAATGGATTTATTGTCGTTGTTGCTTGTTATTGCGGTAAAGTAAGGAGGCAATGATAGCATATTACTGTTTCATATCTCTCTTAATTTGTGTTCAGGGTTCGTCCTATATATTTTTTTTATATCAAAAATAGTCTAATGTATCCTTCATATCCGAAAGCATATCAACATCACATGTTTCATTTTACTGATAAGTTGTAGTTTATCATATGTAGCAATACACTCAAAAATAGGCTACACAAAGTAGGCTATCTAAATGTAATTTACATAGACCGTCAACAAAACGGAGAACCGCTGGTTTAATAAAATGTTATTTCTTTTAGTGCCTTTGGGTGGCAGCACAGTCCAAATTGAAATGCTTATTGATCTGAAACGCAAAATGTGAATCCCGTCCATATAGGCCTTTGCTTCTCTCCACACTTTCCGTCCGCTCAGACGTTTTTCGAGACCATAGCTCATTGGCTGCCTTCAGATCCCACGCAGAGAGTCTGTGAGCATTTATTTGAGACCATTCAGCAGTGACGTGCGAATTACGAATTACTAATGCAAATTCCCTCTAAATGTATATGTTTTGTTATTTTATGCATTTGTAGAATAGTATAGAATAGAACCGAGTCAACGGGCAATTGTTAAGGAAACAGTATCGATTAAAATGTATCATTTTATTTGAAATGCATTTGTATCAGCTCTGTAACAAGCACAAGTTGATGAAAAGTAAAAAAAAAACGTATAGTACAAAAAATAACTGTTGATATAGTTTTTTTTATTTTATTTTATTTTATTTTTTTAGATTAAAAATGTTGGCTTAATTGATTTCGAAAATGCAAAAATAAAAAGCCAAGTAATAATCTGGATTATTTATTAGGATTGCATTTAATTTCTGGTGCGAGTATTTATTGTATTCTTATAACTAAAAACCGATGTCTAAGTGGCATTGGGTTTGGATTTAACTTGAGCAATTGGTATGTACACCGAAAGTATGCATTCGAAAATGCATTTGTTGGGTAAGTAAACTATAATAAACTATAATACTATTCCAAAGTTTCTAAACAAATAATATATAGCCTAAATAAATATATTAATTTGAAACTGTCACTAACCTATTTTCCTTCACACATTTTATTGGAATGAATTCTACGTCTGTTTATCCGTTTTCTGTTTTTGTAAAGGTAAAGTGTTTGTTTCTTTCTGTTATTGTTTTTTGTTACTGTTATTGCCATTTTGTTATTTGGTTGTCTCTAATTTGTGTAGTTGATTTCAACGAGACGTTTTGATGCTAGGCTATTTACATAGGCTATTGACGTGATTTTTGTTTGTTTGTTTATTAATTTGTTTTAAATTATGGTGTAGCTACTATAAATGTTTGTTAGTTGAAATTATAGAAGTAAAAGGTTGAAACCTTATTTTGTATTTTTGTTTCGGAAAGACATGGCACAACATGGCAATTACATAGCAAAACAACAGATCGAGAGCATCAGCCTCTAAAAGCTAAATATGGAGTCTGTTTTAGCTGCATTTAGGTCGTGGATAAATTAAGCATGGTGTAAAGAAGATCCTTCACGGAAAAGAAAATAAATAGCCTACCACTAATATCGGACTGTAGCTTTCCTCTGCCTTCCACTCACCTCTTTCTCGTTCGAATTTTTATTTTTGACTATATGATTCAAATTCAAGTAGGTTCATTTACATGGCGAAAGAAATAAAAAGCACACAAAACACCGTGATTTTTTTTTTATCCCTACTTTACCTGCTTTTTGAATCCGATCCTCAAGTTGCCGTTGTATCAGATGACTGAAAATAGGCTACGGAAAACTGATTATTACACAAGTGCTTTGCTATTTATTAACGTAAACACATAAATCTCGTATTGGTAGATTTCAGATACTTCTATGAGGAACAATGACCCAACTGCGGGAAGTCAAGGCAAATACATATATGTGCCACTAGATGGCAGCACCGTTACGCTCAAGAAAAAGGGTTCTTGTAGAATACCTCTCATCTGTGATTTGGCTAAACACAATATTACAGCCATTATTCACTCATTCTTAGCAGCTGATATAGCCTATCGTTCTGTTTTACTCATTCTTTTCTGTAAATTGAATTAAATCAAAACATTCAAAAGAAATTGATCATTTGCGATGAACATTTGTATTGTTTATGCATTTGTGTTAAATATTTTGGCAGAATGTTGACATTCGTAATAATTACAAAGATACAAATATGGAAATAGCCTAGCCTACATCGCTTAATATGGGGAGTTTTATTTGCATACTTTCTGCAGTAACACATTAATGAATTTGTACTATATTTCGCAGGTGCCTGGAAGCGACTTTATATTTACAAACGTGCGTATGGGGTAAACAGAAAAGAAAAGGGCAAAACAGAAATCTGTCACGGCTTGGGGTAAATTCAGTGTACAATTAGCATAGCATGCAAATCCACAGTCTAAAAAGGTACAGTTGTTTTTTGATGTGTAAATATAAAATAATACACGAATTGCCATGGTTCTGTCTGTTTACTTCACTGTTTTTTTGTTTTGTTTTTGTTTTTAAAAAAATTTAATTTACATTGCTCCCACGTCTTTGTCAAATAGGGACTACATTAAAGATTAAAAAGAATTAAAAATGAAGTGGTGAACATGGGTACACAGTTCTTGAGCAGTATCTTCGCCTTTTATTAGTGTCAGTGTCTTGGCAATATGTAGCTACACAGAGAAGTAAAATATACATTTTCCCTCCTGCGCATCTCCGCATAGTTTCTTGACGTGGAACAGATGATGGAATTGATTTCAGAATAAATAATGTTGAAGGTCCTTCCATTTACACCCCTTTGGTATTTCAGTTTTTTCATTCTTTCAGACCTTAACTGATGCCCTTGTACTTGTTGACCACTTTCTTCTCTTTCACCCGCCTGTTTTGAAACCAGATGGTCACTTGTCGCTCGGTCAGGTTTGTGTGAGCAGATATCCTTCTTCGTTTGTCCTTAGTAATGAATTTATTTGTGGCGTATTCTCGTTCTAGGTCCTTCAATTGAACCTTGGTGTAGGGAACCCGATTAAAAAGAATTAAAATGAAGTGGTGAACATGGGTACACAGTTCTTGAGCAGTATCTTCGCCTTTTATTAGTGTCAGTGTCTTGGCAATATGTAGCTACACAGAGAAGTAAAATATACATTTTCCCTCCTGCGCATCTCCGCATAGTTTCTTGACGTGGAACAGATGATGGAATGGATTTCAGAATAAATAATGTTGAAGGTCCTTCCATTTACACCCTTTTGGTATTTCAGTTTTTTCATTCTTTCAGACCTTAACTGATGCCCTTGTACTTGTTGACCACTTTCTTCTCTTTCACCCGCCTGTTTTGAAACCAGATGGTCACTTGTCGCTCGGTCAGGTTTGTGTGAGCAGATATCCTTCTTCGTTTGTCCTTAGTAATGAATTTATTTGTGGCGTATTCTCGTTCTAGGTCCTTCAATTGAACCTTGGTGTAGGGAACCCGCTTCTTTCTCCCTCGACGCACTGAGGCTCCATCGGTACCCGACACAGTATCTAGGGGTCAGATCAAAACCAAAAGAAGGTTGGTTGCAAATGCGTAATTGGTAAGTAAAAAAAATAGATGTTCATGTCAGAAATGTCAAATAATAAACCAGAAAATAAAAACACAATGATATGTCTTTAAAGCAGTATACAAACGTCAAGTAAAATATTAAGATAAAAACTATTTGCAATCTTGAGAAGTAGCTTGTGAGAATACAAAATGCACGACGTAATGTCACTTTAAATGATTATATAATCTTGCTATTAGGCCTAAAGATCAATTTTATGTACGATTTTTGCTTAAATCCATAGTACGTGGGCTATTTTTTTTCCAGATAATAAAGCAGATTTTTTTTATTACCTTGAATAGACGATTTCCATAAGGTGTTTGAGTGCGTTTGATCTTTCGGGCAGTACACCGGACTGCTCCATCCGTTCGTGATTGCCCAGGGCTGGTACGTTTCAACCGGCAGAAGAGACTCGTGTCTGGGTTCCACATGGGTGCTAAGCGCAGGTACGACTGGCACGTCAAGATAACTCGGTACAGGCTGGTAAGGGCCAGACGAGTAACCCTGGTAGAAGGCAAATTCCTTAGCACGAGAAGGGAACTCCTCTCCAGAAATAGACGTGTCCATGTATTTTTCCCCATAGGAGGTGGGCTGCGTGCAGGACTTGGGCATCCTACACTGGTAGTAACTGCCGCCAAAATATCCATAGGGCAAAGAAGCACTGGGAGAATTCTGTACGGCTGAACACGGACTGCATTGTTTGACAGGTTCCCCCATGCCCGATCCTGGCACCTCACTCGACGTGTAGGTTGTGCTCGGGGCCAAAGAAGACGGGTGGGCAATAAGGTTCCTGCACTGGTTAGCAGCGAAATTGCCTCCCACAAATCCTTCCATGTTTTTGCTCATATCATCCAAGCCGTTGTCATAGAGAAACATCACCGGGTCAATCCAGCGGGAATGGAGGAGTAAAGACGCTGTCATAGCACGCCCTACATGGAGCCTACCAGCTCTTTTAGAATTCCCCAAGACTGAAAGGGAAGCAGTGGATCAGTGGAGTAACAGATACCCATGCGTCCCGTGTGCGTCAATATCCAACTATTATTGGACGAGCGGAGGCACGTGACATGCAAAGAGGCTGCTAAACGTCTAAACTGGAGATAACGCCGATCTAGCTAGACAAACATACTGCACTGAACTGAAACAAAGTGGAGGGATTTGGTCAAAAATAGCTATAAAGATTCTGGCGATAAGCTTTATGCTTAAGTGGAAACCAAGTGCCATTCCATTTGCGCAATGGGACTAGTATTACGCACCTTCCTATATAAGTAGCCTATAGCCTTTATCTGTAAGATTATTGAACATTCGTAAATATCATATTCTCATATACTATTAAAAACAATTAACAGTAATAAAAAAGCTAACGCGGGCTGCTTGACTTTTTTTTTTTATCTGGTGGCGTTTCAAACTCACCTTCTACATCATAGCATGCTGATTTTTTGGGAAAAGCATTGTTTTTTATTGTCTTCCAAGTCATTTGATGATGTGAAAATTAAATAAGGAACCAAAAAGTCTTAAAGTGGCTATTTTCTTTGTATATTTTTTACTCTACACAATTTTGCACAGCTACAGTGAACCGCCACTGTAATACAGTCGACCATTTCGAGCCCATGAAATTGTCAAATAACAAATCACACTTTATGAAAATGACCACCAGTTTATTACTCTATACGTCTAGAAATCCAGCCCACGATTTGGCAAGACTCGTTTACATATGAGTTACACAGGGCTGGAGGCCAAGGTCAAGTTGAAAGTTGCAGTCTAGCCAGGGCCCTTGTTGTCACTGAAGGCTGGACCGTCTGGCAGGAAACGACCACACATCTCCGGGTTCATTGTAAGCAGGAGCACAAAGGTATTGCTTGTGATGCCACAGATTCAGCATGAACGTCTTTTGATCAGTATTTTCATTACAGCTTTGGTTATCTGATGTGTTGGCAGTGGCACAGAGGTCTGGCACTGCTGGAATTATAGCTAGAAGCTAGAGTAAAGATACCTAATATTTAGACTGTATTATTTGTATAATAATAATAATAAACGTTAGGCTATTTAAAGATAGCCTAAATATTCTTATCTAGTAGGAGTGTATTTAGTGTGATTGTATAAAAATGTAATAGGATGCATTCAAAAATAATTACATTTATTTCAATCTTATTTCAAGTCAGTTTTATTCTTCTGAAAGTAGCACACGGGATGAGCGGCTATGAGTATCATATACGAGGATATCGTACGTAGCTTACACCATGACATACATGGTCAAAAAGTATAATTTCTAATGAAACACAGCCTAATAAATTCAAACACAAAATGTGTAAGTTTCATATTGCAGTTAAATTAATTATTCTCCTTCGTTTTGGAATGATTCTTTAAAACGGACAATAATATTTCGACCAATATCTGAGAAACACCGCGTCCCTTATCTATAGCTCACAAACTCACTTTAATGTTGAATAATATCAGCCACTTAAGATGAGATAATTTAATAATTTAAATAGGCTAATAGGTTCATTCAAAATCACGTTTGTTATTATTATTATATGCACACACCGAGGAATGATAAACTAATAAACTACAGTGCTGTTCAAGAATCATGTCATTTTTAGTTAGCGAGGGGCAGCCGTTTGTAGGCTATATAGGCTCACTATCCAGCAGAGTAGCTACACAGGAAATAAGCTCGCTGGTGGCGTGCAAACACGGGCATGTTAGGCGCCAAGTCCCTATTTGATCTTTTTAAGGTTTCTTGAGCTATTAACGTTCAGCGTTGTTCGACCCTCTCACAACAGCCGAGCTGTGTAAAACACAAAGTCAGCATGTGAACAGACGGATGCCAGAATTGTTGGTGCACTATCCAGAAGATTCAATGCATTTTTACATTTATCTCGAAGGTAAAAGAGGCGCCCGTTCATAGGCTACTTCATTCCTCAACATTAAAAATCAACCGTTTCCTCAAGATTTGATTAAACCTTCGTGCTGCTTTTAGACTAACTTACTAAGCCTCTCTTGTGAGCAGGCCAAATGTGGACCATTTAATATAGGTATGCTATTTTACATTTACAAATTCACAGAGCATATTAATGATGATGTTAAGGATAATTTAAATAAATATGTGGATAGCAAAAAATAAAAATAAAAATCTGTAAATGTGTCTAATTTGAATGGACTGAAATAAGACTTTATGTAGCCTAACGGTTTCAACCACCAACAAAGATACAGCGAAGCTTGGATCTAATAACCTCTCAAAAACAGAGCAAAGGACTGGAACTGAGTGAAATGTATAGAGTGCAAATTTACATCATTTTAATTTCAGGTTCAGATTCTGAACGAGGCAGTTTTACTCATCTTGTTTTCCACATACACTCACGAAAACCAGTGAATAAGTAAATATTTGAGAGGCACGAAGCCTTGAGACACTATTTTGTGCATTAGGCTACGTTAGAAAATTGCACAGTAGGCTTTAGATCTCGCGTGGTAATGTCACCTGCACTTCATTTCAGACACTTACTTGATATTGCGGACATGTAGCCTGCATTTGTTTGCAAATGTAAATAAAATTGTAGTTTGAAACTACTATGGCTATAATTAATTTCCAATTGATTTATTCGTTTGACGCTGTTTGACTCCGTTTTGGGTAAACATCTTTTAAATCTTTACCTCTGAGAAAAGATTTTTTCTCAATGACCAGAGGGACCAGAGAACGTGATGCTTTAAATGGGTGAAACCGGAATGGGATTCCGGGTTTTGGGCTGTCTGAAGTCTAACTAACCCATGGTCCTCTGTTTGTAAGACCTGCCAACTAGATAACAACACAGCACTTAGGCCTCCATGCTTAATGGACTTTTTATGGGTTTGTCCTGTGATCATGTGACCTCTAGCATTATGGCCTCTCGTTGGCTCTTTGGTGAGTAGATCAGAAACATACCGCTGACTGCTTTTTCCCTCGTTTTGGAAACCAGGAGAGCAAAAGTGAGTGTGACAAGAAGAGGCGAAAGACAATGAGAGAAGATGAAGGAGCAATGCAAAGTTCTGAGGCGAGAAATCGGGGGAAAGGCAAATAGTGAGAAAGTGAGAAGCGCAGGTCATGAAGACAAACCTGATCACGTTCCTCACAATATGTATCTTGACTGTATCATTAGCTTCATGGAACTGTGACCGAAGCAAGCTGGGGCACACAAACAGATGAAATTACATATTTATGATTGCTTGAATATAATTTTTAAAGGGTTCCTGATCTTGAAATATCTGTTAGCATCTTCTCACCCTCATGCCATTCCAAACGAGTATGCATTTCTTCTTTAGAATACAAAAGATGATATGTGACCCTGGACCACAAAATATGATTTGCCGCGTACATTACAATTTTACCCATGTATTTCAAAGCTTTTAAAGGGATAGTTCACCCAAATTACCCCATGATTTACTAACCCTCAAGCCATCCTAAGTAAATTGATAATTTTGACCCATACAATGTATTTTGGGTTATTGCTACAAATATACCCGTGCAATTTAAGACTGGTTTTGTGGTCCAGGGTCACATATTTTGTGTTTTTTGTCCATTCAATTAAAAGTCATTGGGGTCTAATGTTGTTTTGATCCACATCGACTTGCATTGTAGATAAAAACCACTTCAAAACTTTCTTCAAAAGATCTGTGTTCTACAAGAAAAAACAGGTTTGGACAACATAAGAGTAAATAAAGACAGAATTATTATTTGTGGGCGAATTATCCCCTCCCATCTAACAATGAGAACATGAAACTAAAATATAACAATTTCATTGATGTGTAAAAGATTTGTAGATGACTCATGTTTATTGTGCATGTTACGTGCCACTGAATTCAAGGTGAGGCTTCATAAAGAAGCATCAAAAAACATTCCACTGTGTGACCTTGGAAAGAGGGAGGAGACCAGGTAAAAATATGTGCCGTGTTGCATCATTGTTAACTGGTTAACCGCATTCATCAGGATTACCTATACGATTGTAAACCTGGCTTAGTACCCTGACAATACCACTTCATTTTCCAGGATTAATATGTACAATTGAGTAAGTGTTATATAAACGTGTATCAACACGCCACAGTCCTAACATCAAAGATACAGATATTTCCTGCTTTAATTTCCAGGTGTTTAACATGAATACAACATGTAGATCCAACACCATTAACAGCAAATTTGACTCAACAGATACATGAAGGACACAAAAACTAAAATTGTACATTTGAAAAGAAATGGAGTATAACGGCTGACCGGAGTCTTGCGTGTTTGTGGTTGGGGAGAATGAAATGATAAATTTTTTATCTTTCGTTAGCCTGCAGAACAGCAACGAAGGCAAGAAAAAAAATCAGAACAAACATTAAATTCACAGCATCTCATCAACTGATTGGTGGATTACCCAATTGTACATGAGTGGGCCCACAAAAGTAACATGATTACAACAGAAACTCACAGCCTCAAATGCTACACACACACTAACAAAATAAACACATCTTTCCCACTATCATCCAATCTACATATGTATTCATTCACTCTCTCACTCACTCATGTATGGCTCCCAGCACATGCCAATGAAATCACATAGTTGGGTCAAATTTTTGCATGTCAGGTCGTGTGAAACGCAGGCAGTGCTGTAAGGCTGCGGAAGGGGCAGAGTGTTGCCTTCTACTGGCCCTCCTCTTCTCGAAGGAACTGGAAGACAGATGAGAAGTCTTTGCTGGCGTAGCCGCGTGCGCACATCATACGGTAAATCTGATGGGCCAGAGAGCCCAACGGCACTGGTGTCTTTGTGTTAGTTGCTGTATTCTGAGCAAGTCCCAGATCCTGAGGATAAGTGGCAGTAAATGTCATTGAGAGATATGCATAACTGCAAATTTGAAAAATTACTATGTGTTTTTGCATTAAAAAAAAAAAAAAGGCTAGTTCGAACAGAATACAGGGTCTCAAGGCAATTTTAAAGTAGACCATTACGAACGTAACATGCAGTCTTAAAAAAACCCCACAATGTTTAACAACAGTGGAAAATGTGACTATAGCATGATTGTGTAAGAATTTATCAGTGGTAGCAGTATGTAATAATTGTTTATTGAGCAGGAAATCAGCATATTCAAATTTAAATTTCAGCTTTGCCATCACAGGAAAATATATTCACATTGTAAAAAAGATAAATAACATAACCAGTAGTTTTTGAGAAAAAATAAATAGATTTCTCAAAAACATAATTCTTTATTCCAAATGTTTGACCACCAGTATAAAAATTGGAAAAATAGACTAGACTTCACTAATCAACTATTTAGGTTATTAGTTTACCATTGTGTTAGTAATTCATTCCTAATCTATATAACATGCTTCTATAATAATTATAATAATGGCCTAGAGGAAGACCATGGTAGAAACAAATGTAAAGAAGACAAAGCACACCTTGGCCATTAGTGTAGTTCCGAAGCCACCCTGGTAGTTGTTTGCTGAGGGCACTCCCTCCATCACTCCCGGGACAGGGTTGTATGTGTCACTCGACCAGCAGCGGCCAGAGCTCATGTTCAAGATCTTCGCCAGAAGTTTCGGGTCAAGCCCTAATCTGTAAAAAGTAATAATACAATCTGTAGAAAAAGTAAATGTACCAAGACAGCTGTATCATTTAATCATCTGTATCATAGTTTTTGCTGAAAATTTACTTAACCTAGGTCATCCAAGATGTAGATGAGTTTGTTTCTTCATCAGAACAGATTTGGAAAAATGTACTCGTATTTTGGCCAGAAGTGACAGTTTAGAGTTAAAAACGCCTTAATAATGGACTTGATTCTTACAAACACGCAGCTTTTCACTTTACAAGACATTAATTAATGGACTGGCGTCATGCGGATTACTTGTGAATTATTGTGATGTTTTTATTAATTGTTTGGACTCTCATTCTGACGGCACCTATTGGTGAGCAAGTGATGCTACATTTCTCCAAATCTCTTCTGATGAGAAAACAAACTCATCTACATCTTAGATGGCAAATTTTCATTGTTGGGTGAACTGTTTCTTTAAGTAATTCAACTGTGCCCTGCACCTGATTCCCAAATTCATGGTCTCCGCTGTTCCAATCATCCCAATGGCCAACAGCATATTGTTGCAGATTTTAGCTGCCTACAAAAAAAAGGAATAGAGAGATTATGACCAGAAATAAATCAGAACCTTTCTAAGAATGTCACTATATTCTTAAAGACACCCTGTTTATACCTGTCCGGTGCCAACTTGGCCACAGTACACCACATTAGCACCCATACAGCTCAGAAGCTCCTTGGCTGCATTGAACTCCTCCTCTGGCCCACCAACCATAAAGGTGAGCTTACCTGAAGTGGCAGCACCAACACCTGAGAGAAATATAGAAAACGATGCAGATCATGCTGTACATATCTAAAATACACATACAGTGCCTTGTGAAAGTATTCATACCCCTTTCATTTATTCACATTTTATGTTATGTTACTGCCTTATGTTAAACTGCTTTAAATTACTTTTTTCCCACATCAATCTACACTCCATACACCATACTGACAAAGCAAAAACAGAATTGTCACAACTTCGTAAATTTATTAAAAATAAAAAAAACTGAAATAAGTACATTGCATAAGTATTCATACCCTTAACTAAATATTTCGCTGAAGCACCTTTACAGTCTCAAGTCTTTTTTGTTTGATGCGACAAGCTTTGATCATCATCATTTGGCAATTATCTGCCATTCTTCTCCTCACCTCTTCACCTCTCAAGTCAGGTTGGATGGGAGAAAATGCAAATTTTCAAGTTTCTCCAGAATTATTTGATTGGGTTCAAGCTCAGGCAGCGTGCCTTCTGTTGGAAGTTACCTAGCTGGGGACTATTTTCAGGCACCTGCTGCACCCATGGTATGGCATGAAACTATAGAAACTCTTTGGTCATTTTTGAGCGAGATGCTAACGGTCTAATCAGATTCAATGATCTATGCTAAGCTGCAGCTAAAAGTGCTACCGCCAGACCCGGAGATCGGCTGAATGGATTCGAAAACGGTAAAACTCAACTGTTTAACTCTAGGGGAGTTGGAAAATGAGCCCATTTTCAAAAATAGTGGAGTGTTCCTTTAAACTGACATAGAAGTTCAAGTTCCACAGAAGACCTCTGTAACAATAACAACGCAAGTGGAGTTTCGACCAAACGTGACCAATCAGAGAATGAGCAACCACATGCATGAATTATTGACGGAATAAAGGGGTGACTAAAGCTCTAATGTGATTGTTTCCACAACATCATACCAGTAACCTGTTTTAAGCTTAAAGGATTGCGAGGACGGGTCTTCAAAATGTAACACCATCGAAGTGCCATAATTACTCTCAGAGAGGAAAGTTCTATAAACACACAAGCACTTCACCATCTGCTGTGAACACAGACGTGCATGACGTCAGGGACAGTTTGTTGTGGCTCACGTTTCATTAAGCCTCCTTCACAGGCGCTAACACTGAGCTGAGAATAATGTCTGGAGGGTCCAAGTAAAGAGAATGAGCAGGTCTGTGGATTTCCTATAACTGTTTCACAAACCAAGAGCGGGTCCAACGGTATGTTAGCCAAACCCCACTGACGCATATGAGTTGGGAGAGGCAACAATTTAAGGAAAGCAAACTAGAAGCACATTGCTTTTATGTGCCCAAAGACCAGAGGAAACAACTTCCTGATTAAAAAGGAGGATCGCCATAAAGCACAAACTAGCTGTTGACGGAGTTAAACATTTCTTGTTAGGCGACAACACAGGTCGTTTTCACACCTCAGGCAAGTTTATAAGCAGCACA